CAGTAAAACAGTTTTCTGTGTTCACCTGATGAACACTTGAGTCAGTTAATACATTCAAATTACAAGTTTTCCACGTTATTATTTACATACTCATTCATTCCTGGGATCTATGCTACAGTTTTCATGAGCGCTTTTCAGCAGAGCACTCCGGCTCGATCCAGCAATCCGTCATGCTTGGCTTTCTACTAGATAAGATGTGCAGATACTGTAACTAGGTAACCACACATCATAAAGTATAAGGTGCAAAAGCAACAGTAGCTACTCTGCATCCACTAAAATTATTGCATCCAAACGCCGTAGGTACAGAGTTAAATACTATCAGTAAGTTGCCAATGTTGTTGTTTTTTTTTCCCCCAAGAATAGCTTTGTTAACGTATGGAGTCCTTCTTTTTACTCCCCATGCAAAAGGATAACTACTTACCTTTTCTCCGATGCTACTGGTGTTCGGTAGATCCGGACTGGGTGTGAGAATTGTATCCTCCGATGAGAGAGGATGGCTGATATCATGAATGGATTTCTGCCCCGAAGACGGTAGCGATTTAGGGGTGCCAGCACTCATTGTGCAAGCGGATTTTCGGCAGATGTTCAGATCCTTCTCTGGTGGTAGTTTTTATTTTTTATGTGTGTGATTATTCCAGTTCAACCGCACAATCCCTCAACCTCTAAGAGTCTGTCAGCTGACTCGCAGTGCGCAATTCAGGAAGTACAAGCGCTCATATACAGGAAACACCACAGATACAACACAACAAATCTCGCTGTGTTGTTGATCTCCGTGACCACTGGGCGGCGCTTGAGCCTTTTAGTTTGTATCTCTGAATGGAGTTTTTGTTTTCCTTTGTAATTCGGCAATTCTTCACACCTGACTCCTGCCCGTTAAAAACTCTGAACTGTGATAGGCTGCCCTTAATTGCATTGCATGTTGTCATCAGTTTTAAAAGAACAATTATTTTCTAATGGATCGTGAATTAGGAATCTTTTAAATTAGGGTTTCTACTTCTACCGTAAAAGGAGAGTGCAGGCTCAGGACAGATTTCTACCAAAGTGACAAGTTAATGCTTGCATATACTTCAGTGATATCACGAACTCCAGTGTTGAATCTTTAACATAAACCATACCCAAATGAAGGTTACAAACACAGTTAATAAGGCTATGTTGCCAGTAATTTAATAGTAGATCTTGTTGGAGGACTGTTTCACTAAATATCCCCTGATATCGTATTCAGCAATGTGGACGGGTAAATTTGCTTCGGACAAAGCAACTCTCTGTGTCAGTATGAGCCTTTTGTTTCCAATCCTATATGCTCCAAAATTTAGTTTCCCCAAATAACCACTTCCTTTCAGGTTTTGAATATCTAAATCCAGTGCTCACTACTCTTCTTTCAGCCTCGGAGATTCAATTCCCTTAATATGACTCGGACATTCATTTCGGACCAGTAGCTAGTCTTTTTTTTTTTTGATTATAGGACAGTATCTCAAGTAGCAAAAGCTCGTATGTAGTTGTCTGATCAAGGAATTCAGAGTGATTCAACTTCTGATATCTAAACGATAAAAAAAACAAAGTCATAAGGACAAAATATACAAATAAAAAGGTCACAACATAGCGGAGGCCATTAGCCCCATCTAACCCATTTGATACTGTAGTTATTAGGTAATTTAGCCAATTTAATCAAATTGTAACCACAGTACTTTGTTGGTTTTCAAGTAGCTTAGTAGATATACCGGGTAGTTGGTTAATTTGATTAATAAGCAATAGGTTTGGGTTTTTTTTTCCACTGTCGCAAAATGATTCTGGTCTTTCTTCTAAATCGCGTTGTATTTTGATAGACGCTTGTTTTTCATTTTATACGGTAATACCACAGCTACGCTTTTAATTCGTCATTACAAGGCGCCACTGAAAAGGTATCAAGATCCAGCTTAAGTACATAAGGTAAAATCAGATTTTGTTTAATTCCAGTAATGGTTTAGGAACATTTGTATTTTGGTTTTGTGTGTCGTACAGCTGCCGTAGAAGGGATAATTTTCTAGAACACGTTAGACATATAGTCTTAGTAGATAATAGGATTGAATGACCTGCTCAACGAAATTTTCAGCTTCTGTGGTAGTGTAGTTCTTCCCATAAAGAAGAAACGGAAAGTATGAATGGATTGTACGTTTACTAATGCAACTGTTAAATGCCACGGCTTTTTTTGCCTTCTTTAACCTGTCTGTTTAGGAACAGACCAGTGTTTCTAATAAACGATTCTGCGGATGTTTCATTCCGCGTAATTCTGAATGTGTTGCTGTTCGAAGGTAATGCTTTGGGGGCATTTAGGCAGATGGCAGTTTTGTAAGTTTGGAGGTATTTAATTTTCATTATGGAACTTTTAATTTTAGAAATCTACAGACAGAGGTTTACCCTAAAAGGTAACAACTAGAATTTAAACGTGGACAGGGTAAGAAACTCGTTCTAGTATTCCAGTTCAGTCAAGTATTCTTCTGTACTATTTTCTCGTTTAGAACGTCACTTTTCAATATTCATGAATGAAGTACACTAGTGCATCTGTGTACTTCAGCAGTCCGATATCTGATACTGTGATAAACAAGCAAACTCTCCTCTGTATTATTAATAGCCTTTGAGTAATTTATTTTATAATTTAAAATATTGTATTTGTTTTAATTTATTGTAATTTAATTAATGTATGTATATGACTTTTATAGCCAAGGTAACTTACATTTATGCAGCTGGACAGTGCATTGAAGCGGTTTTAGAGAACTTCCATGGCCCAAAGGTACAACTGTACCTGAGCCAGGATGTTTTGTTCTTGATGTTATTGGCATTAATAGTAAAGGCATGATAACTCTTGGTATTCTTTGCATTCCTGGTTTCCTGAAGAGAAAAATAGGGAGCTGTCACCAATAAGAAAGATGTACTACATCACTAAATTTTTCTGAATTATAGTAGTATAACAAATAAGTCTAACCCAAGCTTAGCCTCAGTCATCTGTCTGGTCATAATACAGTCTGGGATACCCAAGCCTTCCTGAATATGTGGCAGACATCAAGGTCCAATGGAAGGAGCAGAGTTTTTGGATTCAAAGCAATTCAGAGTCCCATTATACCCAAATACAAACCAACAGGGGCGAAGAAGCCATCACATTGAAGCCTTGAGCACATATAGTTGACATGCAGGTATCATCTAGTGATGGTTTGTGAGAGAGAGCCCCTGTGCCCAGTTGGAAAATACCCAGGTGGTGAGAGGTAAGAGACTAGATGCCTCATACCCCAGTTGGGTGGTATCCATAATCCAGTGGCTGGTTTGTGTTTGGAAAGGGTTAAACCCAACGCCTCTACCCAAAGATGTGGCAAAACTGTCAGTCTGCCATTTGTATGGGAACTGTAGGGTGAACATAAACATCCAAAGTCTCGACTGGGAATAACAAATGTAGCAAAAGATCTGTGTCAGCGACTTAAGGCAGGGGCTGAAAAACAAGCAGCACAAGATGGAGGCCAGGGAAATCTTAGGTAGGAAAGTGGGATTGGGTTCCAGCAATATTCAGAAAAGGTCTGATCAAATGCAAAATGAAGAGGTGCTTGAAGCTCCCTTCCTCTGTCAGCAGAGATGATGGCTAACCAGTACCTGGTGATACCTTTAAGCACCAGGAGTTGCAGAGCTGTTCTGACCAACAAGATTTACAGGCCACAAGCCCAGTATAGGCTACAGGGAAATATCCTTTTGCAGAATAAACCCACTTGTTCCAAATACAAGGATGAACTACACTAGGTATGGATTATACCAGTTTGCGCAAGAGAGGTCATCTTCTGTCGCAGTGTGGCAGCTCAGAGTTGATCCCAGAAGGTACTGGAGATGGGAAATGGGCCACTGTGGAGCTGATGTATGATGTCTAGCAGTTTGGGATTGGCAGTGTTATTGTGTGAGAGGCAGCAGCAGAGGACAGTTGCTGAGGCTGGCTGTGTTGATGGGGTGGGGAGTGGTATTTGGGTATTAAGCTCTAAGGTCCAGATGTCTCTTGGACAGGGTGTTGTAATGGAGATCCCTGTGGTTTAGCAGCAAGAAGTGGAAGGTGACCAGGTATGATGCTGAAAGAGCCTGATATCCCAGGGCCCTGACCTCAGCAGTGGTGAAACAAGTCATCATACCGGGGCAGACTGCTGCAGCGATGGCTTTGTCTCTTCAAGAGCGAGGGACAGGCTCATCAAACTCAAGATAAAAAAAATATGACCCAGTCTGATAACATTCTTGTAAATATCTGGAAGTTTGCACTGATGTGTAAAGATAAAGATGCTAGATTGCCATCAAACTGTGTCCTGTAGCTTGACTTATAGCTTGGACTTGTTGCAGGCACTGCAATATCTAGATATCAAGTCTCACACCAGATGAGTTGAGAAATCTTGTCTTCACTGCTGGATGTGTGAGATTTATAGTTCTGCTCATGAGAGGTAGAACTATAAGAATTCCAATTTTGTCTTGACTGAGCACAAAACCTTTTGCTATGTGTTTGCAGTATCACTTAGGTTCTTTGTTGCAAACCCCATGTGAGATTTGTGAAGGGTTTTTTCAGTTCCAAACAAAGCCACTTTGTGAAGTTGCCAGTATATTATTGACCCATGTACAATTTCTACCAGTGAGCTCTGTATCCCATTCAAAGTCGCAAAGGTACAGCCTGAGCTCATCAGTGTCTTTGTGCCTTTCATTTCCTAATGATTGTCTTCACCGTGGTCAAAGAGATCTTAAGGGTCTTAGAAATGTTTTTATACCCTTCTGCTGATTTGTGCCTTTGTACAGTTTTATCCCTGAGTTGTTTTGTAAGCTCCTTGGTCTTCTTGTTTGACCTTTCCTTGGATTTTCCTTCCTTGCCAAGGGGTTTTTGCGGGGTTGATGTGTTTGTTCTGAAATCATGTGAACCCCTATAAATGTACAGATATGGAAGCCACTCAACTAACTTTGTGGTTTGTTAAGGTAATTTTGTGCACCTAAAATAGTTTGCCACAGGAAATAATTTGAGTTCTTATACGATCATGACTTTTCCAATTGTCTTTCATATTAACCTTTTACTTCTTTCTTATTTTATGTGTTGAATATTGTGCATATAACAAATATTATTTGCTACTTCAAAGTGTCATGACAGGAAGCTTTAAAGCAACAAAATCTGAAAAACTGTGCAAGGGTGTGATTTCAAGGCACTGTATATCTATTTCCTTTTTGTTTCCTCACAGACAGCCACCTTTCCCGAGCAATGGCGGCAAATCCACCCGGACAGGGTAAGAAAGTCTTTCTTCTCTATGCTTGGGGCTTGCGTCTTTTCTACTGGGAAAAAAAATGCTTTTAATTGACAGGACAATTTTCTTATTCTCCTCACTCCTTCTATTCTTATTAATCTGTTGTGCCATAATCCACTGTGTGGGTAGCTGTTGACCTACTTTGAAACTCTGTTAAAAACACCTAGAGATACAAGTGTTTTAATGTAATTAGAATGAAGAAGTATATACATTTATAATAGCCATCACATTGATAATTTGATATCTTCTATTACATTCTCTGCTTGAGAGAAAGTACTTCATGTTTTTGCTTTAAGACTGATCATTTTAAGCACTTTTTGTGAAGAATTTTGTATTCTTTAATAGGTAAATTTAGAACTAGATAAAATTGAATATTTTACAAAGGTGCCTTTTGTGAGGAAGCCAAAGACACAAGGCAAATTAAGGCCTGATAAGGAATAGTGGAAATTCATCAGAACCAACACAACTACCATTCAGTTCTACTGAGCGTTCAAACACATTCTTTGCAGTTATGAAAGTGCTAAAAAGTCAAATTATCATGTGCAGTTAACATAAGTGAAGATGTTTCACAACCCTAAGGAAATTGCAAGCACAAGCATTTGGTGTTGTTGCATGTGTGCATTTTTTAGTTGTCCATTATCTGTAACATCTGAAGTATCGATGTTTTTGCATTTAGCAAGATAAGCCATACCCGACTGCCATTGTTTCTGAAAATTCAAACTGAGAGCACCGACTGAATTGAAATTGTGCTGGTTTAGTCAACAATGTGGTTCTTAACACAAACTGGACCTGCCTTAAACCTGGACAGTGTATAGTGGCAGATTACTTCTTTACCGATCTTAGTATTTCATTTTTTTACTTGCAAACTATTCAATCAGCCATTCTATACAATTCCTAGGCATTGTGTAGAATACCTAATACCATCAGGAAAAGTGTGAAATGTTTGCAGTCTCACATTTTACTTAGGTATTGTATGGTTTGATTTGTGTTTTAAAGGAATCATTCTAAATTTGGTTAAGTCTTTACATTCTGTAGAAGAGAGACAGAGATCTGTTGTGTGGAAATGTTGGCGGAATGGGATTGTGACAATACACTGTGTCAAGAATACTGTTTTCATATCTATTGGTATCTCTTCATTGTGTCTAAATATAGACTTGTTTTTTCCTAAATGTGACATTATTAGTCATTCAGAAGGATGTTCAGAGGTATTAAAAACTGCTTGGAAATGCTTGTATTCAGAGCACAGCAGGAGACCATACATTTGTATCCCTGTGTTTTTGCTTCCCAGCCTGGCCTGTACATTTAGTAAATTCATTTCAAAACTTCAGTTAGCTGCACAGTGCCTTCATGCATCTCAGTGTAACACTGGACAGTTACTGTCAGTGACACAGAGATACTGTCAGTGTGTTAAAGAACTTCAAACAAGCCTGTACTACTTCTTACTCGTTTTGCCTGCCTACGATCAGTTTCATTTTCAGAATGGCAGCAAAGGCAGTTACTAATCAAGTAGAAGTTGCAACATCAATTTTATCTAGAATTAAACACAAATGAAGTGTTTCAGTGAAGAACAGTGTTTTTCTGATGGCTCAGTGTGAAATGATGAAAAGTATTTTTGCGCTTGGAGCAAAGCCATCTTCGTGACTACTGGTTTCTGAAAGTGTAATATGATGATAGTGCAACTTAAAAACAAGCTTATGCTCTCAGTGGGAATTGAAAGCAGTGTGGTTTTCTGCTGTCTGCAACACATTTTGATTGATCATCAGGTCTTGTCCACCATGACCAATAAATATTCAAACAGGTACAGGAATATTACTTGTTGTGATATATAAAAACATGTTTTCAATCATTTGAACCTTGTCAGCAAAAACAGAGAAGGTCTGAAAAGGGTGCTGTTATTAAGCCATTCATTTTCTCTCATTTTAATTCACTTTGTCAGGACATCGTACTAGATTTTCAGTCTTATCCAGATGGGGAATCTTGTATACCAAGATCATCTCACAAAGCTTAGCATTCTCAAACCCTTCAGATGAAGTGAGCAGAAGAGGTAGCCTACATCTTAATTGACATATTTACTTTAGTCATATGTCAATTAATCGGTTTTAGATTCTGGGAACAGTTGGGAAATTAGTCAATTTTGCTTTCAGCCTGAAAAGTTATGGGCCTGAATTTAAAATTGCAAAAGAAACTGTGGCGCAGTCAAGGAAGTGTTTATATCCAGGACTAACCAGGATATAGAGAACATGTTGATAATAATGCATGATGAAGAAAATCAACAGCGAAGTCTTAAGATTTGTTTAATGAATGAAGTACAGAGCTTTTAATGCTAGTCTTAAAAGTTCCCACTTTTTGGTTTCAAGATCAAGGTTGGGGTAAGCACATCAAACTTACCTTAAGATGTTTTAAAGAATATTCAACAAGGTAAATGGAAGTTGGAGGAATTTCTTTTTTCAGTTGATGATTATGACACCGATGACTGCCAAAATGTTTATTGCATTGATCAGAAAGAACAACACCCAATGAAATGTTGTGCTTAAAAGAAAGCAGTGGAAATTCATAGTGTCTGGACTTTCTGGAATATGAATGTTATATGAAGAAAATGGAAGGATATGATGCACTGGTTGTACATTGTCTCATAAAAACAAAATGCAATTGAAAAAAAAACTAGGCCAACAGTGGTCTCACTAAACAAGCAAAAAGACCGAAACAATCATCTTATGACATTTTCCTGACTGTAGAACAAAGATCTACACTTCGAATACCTGTTCCTGAGGAGGCTGAGGAGGTGCCCCAGTCATTAAACAAGTGACAGATTTGATTGCTTACAGCCTAGAGATGGCATTGTAAACCAGCTGTTCTCCAGATCAGTTTTCTGTGTGAAAAAATGACTAAAAATTGTAATCAAGTAACATTGTATTTTGTATAATATCCGAATTTCGGAAACATTGTATTGTGAGTGTCTACATTTTTATATTATGTTTTCCCTGGTTTCAATATTCAACATTTTACACAAACACTTACTCTAAAATTGAAAATGACATCTAGTGTGATTAAAAACAAAAACAGCACAAGCCCATTTATCATAAGTGATAATGTCAATAAGAGTTAAACACTGTAATTTTGAATTCAGGAAATAAACGCAAAAATGAATGCCAGGAGTGGTTCATGAATCTAAAAACATATTCCATTAATGCAGGAGACAGTGACTAATTTAGTTTTTGTATCCTGAAAGACACTCAGTAAATTGAAGATTATTCTTGACTTTAAATTCTTTCCAAACTGAATTGTGCAGATTTTATTAAAATAAGATAAGAGAGAGATTGGTAAAATAATGTGTTGCCTCTTAAAATAATTAGCTTTGTTGGATGGTCATGATCTGACACGAACCTGCATCATCACAGGCTTAATTCTATTTTTTCTACAAAGATTCACGCTGAAATCCAGTTTTTGTTAACCCTGCTCCTCATCCTGCGTCAACCAAAGCTTGTTTTTTATATTACCATTGTTTAAATAGAATAGCATTTAAGAACAAACCTTTTTGATGAAATGCTATTAAAGATATTTTAATGAAGGTTAGCATTCACATTAACCTTGTGATTTGTCTTTAACTGGATGAATCAGATGTATTCAAAGCACAGTGAACAGAACAATGATAACCCTTGTTACTACCGGTGTTTTTATTAATTTTTCTAATTAAGGAGAATAGTAGGTGCCACAACCATCACTTCCATTATTGAATGGACTGGAGTTTTCAGCTGTGGGTGGGTTATCTGCTTTTCATATGGATAATGTTAGTCAAAACCTTTTAAAAATATTTTTAGGAGTGCATTTTTTTATATTAGGGTTTTCCTGCTCCCAGTGGAAAGATTGAAATAGTTCATTTTCTGTTTGTCATTTTTGAGGTTCATGTGGACATTGGAGTGTTCGAGGCCATACCAGATAGCACTTTGAACTTTCCTTTTCTCAGTGGCTGGAGAGTCTGTGAACCATGCACCAACCTCACTCAAAACTAGAAGCTGGCATGGTGTGATATCTTACTGTGCTTTGCACAACTTGCCCATACTGTAGTTAGGATTTGATGGATATAGTTTGGAATGCATGCTTCCAAAAAATTTATAAACGTAAGAATACCACTCAACATGTTGCTCAGCTGAAGTTACATCCTTCAGCAGTGTTCTTGCGTGCTCCTGACAGGGTCCTGTATTGATTGCTTGTATGTAGTGTTGTCAATAGTATAAAAAGGTCACAATGCATTATATTAACAGCTGCACCCTACAGTTACATCACTCTGGCTCTTTGCAGTGCCTGTCTTAGAGTAGTTTCATCTAGAGAAGTAGACATGTCACTGGGCTTGGTGTAAAGAATGGCACCTGTCAGTGTCAGAGCTGTCGGTTCAAAGACTTAGCTTCCAGCTGGCGGTGTACCAATGCAATCGTAATGTTTAAAACAAAAAGGCTCAAAATGTTGTGCAATTTTGTGGAAGATGGTAACAAAGCATTATTATTCATAATTGTAATATTATAAACTCTTCTGGCACAATATTATGACACTAGAATAAACATGATTGGATAACTGTGTTGTTCCCTTCCTTAGGGAGAGCCATACTTTCATCATCTTTCAGGTGACACAATTATAAATATAACCACATCCTTTAGTCTACATTTGGTCCATTCAGATGACCTGCACTACATTGAAAACCTCTATTTAGATTACTCAGTTTACCCATTCTCATAGCAGTATAGAACAAAGGACAGGTCATGTATTACTATGAGTATCTCAGTTCTTCATAAAATATGCTATAGAGCACTGATGCCCAAGAAGAAAATACATTTTGTCAGCCGCTAACATGAATACTAAAAGCAGGAAGCAGTCTTCTCCTGTGTTTGCTATTAAGAAAGCATTAGCCTTTAAGAGGACTACTAACCTCTTAGTTTCTTAAGATGACTGTATAAAACCTACACTGAAAACTGTACTTTTTCCCTTCCTGCACTTAAAAACAATCATCCTTCAAAACAAGCATCCATTAGCAAGCAATGCTTTTGTATCTAAATGACAAAGGAAAAAAAAGTTTTTTTCTTTGCATTTTTTTCTACATTATTACTCAGTTATACCTATTCTTATTGACCTAGTCATACATATCCGTGAGTGCGACACTGAAAACAACAGAATTACATCCATCTGATGTGCATCAGTACTTGAATGTTTTCCAAGGAGATGATGAGGGAACTTGATACAAGTATTCAAAATCTTGAAAGGTATCGATGTGTTCAATCCGCTGAGCTGCTTCAGGCTCTCCAGTGAAACAAGGACTGTAAGAAATTCGAGAAGTGCAGTTAGGACTAAAAATAAAAGGTTTGCAGGTTATCTGGTACAAACTACTTATCCACGGTGTTACCGGTAACCCCATTGGATCTTTCAAGAAATGGGTGAATTCTCAGATCAACAGTTGCTCACAACCGAATCAACAGAATGGGCAAGACATCATCATTTGTAGTCGTATTTGTGCAGTTAACATTTTTAACATAAAATTTGAATTAAAATTGTTTTGGAGACGTCATTCAAAACAGTTGCCATTTTGAGAAATGTTTTAAAATGTGTTTCCGAAGGCCCACACTCTGTAAAAGAAAAAAAAAAAGGTTAGTGCATCGCTAATCATTCTTAGCAAAGGAATTAACCATGTTTCTAGTATGAAATGACTGTTCTACATTTTGGAAATTCATAATAAAGTATAAACTAGTCAAGCTGACCTGCGGGACTGTTCATTCAAGACCTGCCTTCAGTAATCTAGAAATGAATGCTAATTGAAAACCACAGTACCCTTCTTCCCTACAGTGAATAATATGAAATCTAATTACAGTATATTGGAGTTACCCACAAATAAAACTTTCATACAGTAGATTTGATAATATTTTAAAAAATAACATACTCTTTGTTCTACACATTTCAAGAGGCCCAATAATTATAAAGTATGATGAAACAATGTGTATTTTTCTGTTGCAGGTAGTAAGAGCATAAGACGTCACCAAACGCTTTGTGTAGTTATTTGAGGTGCTTTGCCAATTCTTTGCTTCAGCCTCTTGATTTTTGCCTGTTCTTGGTGTATTCTGACTTCGGTGTTTTCTACATCATGTAAAATGCAGGTTTAATTAATTGGATTGACATCAGGGGATTAATTTGGCCAGTCTAAAAGTTTACAAAGGCGATGTCAGTGCCTGGGCTCAAATTAAGTGAACATTTCAACCTTGCTTAATTACTGTTCTTGCTTGATTACTGTACTTGGAGGCCATATTACAGTACAGTAAAGATTAACTATAGGTTTACAACCTGCATTTTAATCATATATAGCCATTAGAAACAAGTTCTGAAATATTTTCATTTCAGACAAACCACCTAATGAAGTAGTTTGTTACAGTATAATTATTGTTCAGAAAATGCTGTTTGCTACTGGTGAACTGTGTGAACATCATATAAGTATTATTTAATATTTTAATATAACAGGAGTAGAATATGTAAAATATTGGTATAACTAGTAATAAAAATAGAACTGCCCCAGGTGCATGTTTCATTCCATTAAACAACTTTAGTAGAACACCTTTTAAAGCTTATCCACTCTCTGAATTTTCCAGGGGATTGTGCAGCTAGATTTGAATTAAAAACTAACGAAATTGGAAACAACTGGTGTTGCTGGATATTCATTTTTCTTTGGACTATTTCAGTTTTGTGCGAACAGAAACATTTATAAAGCAAAGTTTTAAACTATACTATTTAAATTGATCCTGGTTTCCTAAACTGAATAACATTGTACGGTTGTGTTTTTTTGTCAATTTAAACACTAAGTGTCATTGCATGTTACCCCTGTAGTGAAAAAGAATAACTTGAATTATGTTTCTATTGAAATATAGTGATTGTATATACTTCATATTGAGTATAAATTGATTTTCACCCCTAAGACAATTAATATGCAATTCCACAGAAATTTCACAGTGAAATCACTATAAGGTGATGATCTATACCTTTTCTCATTTGACAGGATTTCAGAATAAAAATCGAGTTGCCATCCTTGCAGAGCTGGACAAGGAAAAGAGAAGACTGATACAGAATCAGTCCCTGAATAATCCTGGAGCCAGGTACTGAGAGTCTGCTCTCACAATGTTCTTGAGTCGCATGCCTTCAATTTTTACATGTTTGGATAAAAGGACCTCTTTAAAACAAAACAATAAAGATAAGGGATAATAGTAATGCATTAGCACGGCAAGAACAACAAGAGCCTGTTATATCACATTATAAGCATCTGAGTCAGGTTCCAGGGTAGACATGGCTGCTAGTATTATGCTGTTTATTCAGAGGGAACGTTCTGTGCACAAACCTTCAAAACTAAAGTAAGGCGGGGGGGACTCAGTTTAAAGCACTTCCTAGTTATTCTTTTGCAGGTGATTTCTTGTATTGACATTGTTACTCTGTTAGATAATTAGGAATTGTCTACCAATTTGATTTCCCTTTTGTCGAGTAGCATCAGGCAAGAAGCTTTAACTGCTTCTTCAGGGAGGCGTTTTAGAATGCCTGATGCCAAGGACAATATAGACAAGTAATCCTTGTGCAAATGATATATTAAACAAAGCTAAGTGACTGTTTCCTGTATGAAGCTATTGGGTTAGTGTAATGATAGTGTAATATGGGCAGAGTGAGGGGTGTGTGTATATGCGTATGGCTAGGACTATTGTATTGTTTAATATTATTTATTTTCCAAGCCGTAATATAATAAGTGTTCTGTCCTTAAAAAAGCAATGACCTTAAAAGTGAAGCTTTGTGTCAATCAGCAAGTGATCGCTCCCTCTCGGCTTCTGCTCACTGAATTCGTTATAATGCGAACGGATGCGATCTGAAGTGTAGTTGAACTGTGTTTTGTGCTGACGAGTTGTTTATTAAAAACGGATTTCAGCATTCCCCTGTCAAGACCCGCCCTGAACAAGGACTTCCGTGACCATGCCGAACAGCAGCACATAGCAGCCCAACAGAAGGCAGCTCTGCAGGTCAGCCACCGAAGAGAGAGAAAAAATCTGATATGATAAATATCTGTGGTTTAACAAGGAAAAATCTGACCCAAACTCAGATTTCAGTTTTATGAAGACACAGCATTTGATTTTCGGCATCTTAAATAAGCAGCTTTGTCAGATTTTCCTGTCATTCCTTGGATAATTCCAAACTTGTGAGCACACCAAAGATAAGAAAAAAAAATTCAAAATATTTTTCCATTTACACAACAAACACCAGTGTCTGTTGATATAAAGACAATCAAATTACCTATGATTTTAAACAGCGAGCATTTTATATTGTAATGGTTTTAAACTACTTGCGAGAAAACTTGTTACTGTTAAAAAAGTATAAACTCTTTCTGTGTGCCATGAGTCTAACTTCTTTCTTGATTACTTTCTCAATTTTGATGAGAGATTTCTGGATGTGTGCTCATACGTTTAAAAATTGGTGTGAAATTTTTAAAAGCAAGAAGTGCATATAGCCTATTAAACTCTACATCATAATTAACCTTTAGAATCCCAGCATCAGTTCCTAAATCTATCGGAAATTAGAAACATTTCTAAAACGTTTTCTAAAAGATTTTATTAGCCAAACTACATTTAAAGTTTGAGCAAATAGTAATATTTCAGTTGATTGAAATTAGTTGTTTAATAAAGAAGTTTGTAAATTACCTTTCCTTCTTAATGGCCTTGTCATGCAAATGTGCTTTTATCCTCACCTTTCAAATGGAGAATCTTTTGAACTTTTAGACTTTTAAACGTTTTAAAACGTTTGCTAAAAAATGCTGTTTTTGGACACATAATAAGAGTGAATCCAGTATAGAAACATTTCAACACTGATTAACCTAACAGATCAGTTTTAGCTTGATTGATGTAGAATTTCTGCATGGAGAAAGGGGTGATTTTAGAAATCAGAATTTCTTAGCGCAGATCATTAAAAATATAAGATCTCTAGTCAGTGATTTTGTTTTTATACATGAAAGGATTTAGAGGCTTGTAGGTTTCTGTATGTTGAATTGACAAATGTTGGGTATCATCAAGTGTAGGTGTAGTGTGAAGCATGGTAGGAGCACCATAATGGTGAGAGCAGACACTCAAGAAAAACATGCTCTTATTTTTTTGACGCGTAACAGCATTAATAAACACTGAAGAGCACTGCCAGAGGTTACACATTCACCAGTAAGTTGCATAACAAGCAAACAACTTTCAAAAAACATTATTAACAGTTTGGTGTCAAACTATTTTTTAAAGTGAATCCATGGATCTGACCAATATCTCCGCTCTCCCTGTGCTGATTCTCAATTTCTGTTTCAGCACGCGCATGCACACTCCTCTGGGTTCTTCATAACACAGGATTCTTCATTCGGAAACCTCATCCTTCCTGTCCTGCCTCGACTCGATCCAGAATAATGCAGCACGAAGATTTTCACGGCACAGGGTCCAAGACTGTGACTTTGATTACAAGCTTGGGAACAGGCTGGTGTCTGACTTACACCACTGAAATGACTTACATGGAAGGAACTGTAAATTCTGTGTCTATTTAAAACAAATCATTAATTTGTGGTCTTCAGCACCAAGTCTGCTTTGTTAGCCAAGTGGGAGAAAGAGCATTCCCATATTATCAGTGCATAGCCCTGAAGAGTCCTGTAGAGCAGTTTTGGACTTTAAATTTTCAACCGAGAAAATTGTCAGCATTTACGTTTTCAGCTATAGAAGACATTTAACAACACCTTTTATTTCTGCATTTCTGGTGTTTTGATTTCTGGAAAATTGGAAGCAATTTTCATTTTTTAATAAAACGTTTAACTTTTTTCATGGATGGAACTGTTCCAAATCTGTCTTAATTTGAATAAATACAAAATATGTACATGTGAATGTTGTAAAGGAATTAAGTACGTATACAAAGACCATATAGAAAGTGATTGGTTTTTGCTTAAGGAAGATTTTCATACACCAGTACGTTCTTTTACCCTGGTTATACTTGTAATGGAAATCTGTTTTTTTTTATCAAGTTTCGAAATACTGTACTTCTGTGAGTCTCTGAATTCTATGTTTGACCTCACAATGAAATATATAATCAGATGGTTATTTTGGTACTTCTTCATCTGCCATCTGTCTCTCACTGGCCCTGACTGCACGTGGGCCTTGTTGTTTTTTTACATTGTGAAATCAGTGTTTTCACAGAAAACAGAATCCAGACTGCTACATCCCTCGTTTTGTACGATACCATGTGCATGTTTTCTGAATGTTATAGTTGACAAATGACATTAATATGTCTGCTTGACTTCCAATCCTGAAGCTGAACTGAAGTGCAGGTTCTGGAAAATCTTCACTCGAATTCAGGACTGTCTCCAAAGACAGAGTGTGCCTCATATTTAATTACAGCTTGTCTTTGTTGTGTGTTCTGTGATTTGAATATCGATTTATGCTGTGTGCCATTATCTGCGTATGACAGATATATATATATATTTTGCAGGCACCTAGTTTTATATTTAGAAATGAATAGAATTGTGGAAGCAAAAAGCTGATTCTGAAAATTTACCACATAGAAAAATGTTTTGTTACTAATATAAAGTGCTTGAAAAGCTTGTGGAATGAATAAGTAAAATGGTACAATGTTCTACTGTATATGGACTTAGTGTGGAAACTCCTTTTGAGTTCTATAACTGTTGATTCTGCCAGGGATCAAAAGAATCCCTCACCAGTTACAGTTTGGGGCAGTGTGTAATATGTGCACGCTTATGAGTTTGCATAAAATACCAAATCCTGCCTCCTCCCATTACTGCACTTGTCAGGATTTCACACATACAGAATCTGCCTCCTGCAGGACCATTAGGATCAGATCCTGTTCAACATAAAGGGATGTTGTGGTCTCTTTTTTGTGTGTTGGGTCACAGGTTGCGATTAATATAGTTAATTTGGCAGCCTTCCTTTAAGCAGTCACTTAAGGAACACTCACAGGAGGACATCTGCTAATTTCAGCTACATTTTCTTCAAAATGCAAAAATACCTTGACAACTACTGAAAAGAATAAATGACCTGAATGGTTTCTTATTCGTAACTGCCTATGTTCTTTGTCAGAATGGTGTCACAGCTATTTTCGGTTGGTTTCTAACAGCCATTTCTGATAATAGATTAATGATAACAGTCCCTTTCTTCACAGCTGTGACAAGTTAGAGTGGCCAGTTAATTTACAGGCACGTCATTGAGTCTTGAGACGATACGAGTACTCGTGGAAATGTGAACACAGGGAGAACAACACATTTCAGGTGTTAAAGCCTGGAATCAAATCTAGGACCTTAGATCTTTGTTTTTTTGACTGCTTTCAACAGTATACAGTAATTCCAGTCACTATTAATTTTAAGAACCACTGCTTTTGACAAAAGGTAATCCAGAAAACATGGTTTCAATATAATAATCAGATCACTTACAGTATAGACAAATAGCCCAACCTGGACTTAAGTGTAGCTGCTCAAAAGCTATACAGGTTATTTTAAATTGTAATGCATTTATAAATTGATCATTTTTATGTGATGGTCTTCATGTTAATTCCTAAATGTGCCTCAACTTTGTAGCCCTGAAGAGAGCATTACATTTAGACGTACATCAGTCACCAGACGTCCGCTTTCAACCATAGTGGACTAAAATCCTCTGTACCCCTTTTTGAAGGACCAGAGTGCTTCTCTCTTATTGTTCCCTCTTCTCCCTTAGCTACTCCATTATAGGGAGGACATACTTCTTCACCAAGACATAGATCTAAAACTCTTCCCAAAATAGTTTTGCTTCCAAAAGTCAGTCTCATTTGTTTCAAGTCCATGGACTAGTCATTTAGATACAGAAAACGCAGTTTTCGTTAACACGAGACTAGCATGAGGAAGTTCATGGACTGCTGGAGTAATGAAGATTACTTATTGTGGATGCTTTCATCATGGTTGGCCTGTCTATGAAAGATGTTCTACTTTATCAAACAGAAGATTAGTCCAAAGAAACCAGGGAACCAGCTTTGCAAGGGCACAGGCCACACTCTGGAAAGCAGAAAGTCACCAAACCAGCTCAGGGCTTGATCACATCTGTTTAATTATGTGACAGCACTGGAGACCTAATAGACACTGACCTAACAAAACACAATGAGTGGAGATGGCTATATGAGCATTGCTGTGTTCAAGCCACCTAAAACTGACCGAGCTTTTATTAAAAAAGGTCCCTACTCTTTTCTCTCTCCACTCTTCCTCCCACTGGTGCTCATGCGTTCACCCATGCCTGTAACCTGACTTAGTCAAATCTCAGAAGCTCTGCAAGTCTGGTCCTGTCTAACTCCCTCCCTGTTCCTCCTCTTCCACCGGAATTATATTATTTCTCTCTGCTTTCCCATTTCCAGAGCCCTTCGTACTGTACCCTTGCTCCTCAGTGGTAGAGCAAACCGCTCACAGAAAGCCAAACTACTCAATTTCTTCCCAGCCTGGGTTGTTTTATTTCTGTTTTTGTTCATATTTTCTGTGATTTTGTTTAAAGCGTCTGCATTTTAAATATTTAACTAAATCAATTATGCAGTAGTGTACAAGAGGGATGCGTTTTTCTGTTGCCAAAGCAAGATTTTATCTTATCAGCTAAAAACCTATTAAATGCGTACTTAATCAATTATTAATTTTATTTGGTTGGTCTTTATCCAAGCCAAAGATGACTGAATTACAGAAAGTACATAATGTGAAAGTTACAGTACATAGCTTGTCAGACATTAGCAGACTGAACTCACAACACAAATGGAGGTTTTTCCCATGTTTTTACACTTGCTTCTGTTTCTTCACTGTATCTGTTACACCTTCTGATGGTCCTGTCCTGCTATTCACACCAATACAACTTCACATCTCTAACAGCAAACACACCGTTCTACGCAACCACACTCCCAATGGTTCTATTTTTACCTACAAGTCAGTACCATCACTGGGCTTAGCCAATCAGAGTTGCAGCGGCAGCAGTATAAGAGCCCTGTTATGAGCAGTGTCAGTATCTGAGAGGTGAACACTAAGAAACGATAGGAACACTAGTTGGAGGCCAAAAGATGAAAACTTTTTTACCTGTGACAGTGTTGCTCCTCTTAACTTCAGCAAATGGTAAGTCCACTATGGATAGATTTTTATGATTGGCTTCTGGTATTATTCTGTCCTTGGTTGTTGTTAATGTAAATTTGCTTTAGAACACAGAAATGCTGTTAAGGAGCTACTGTAATTGTCTTGTGCAGGTGTTCAGAGAATTCATAATAATGCCTTAAGCATCCTCATTTCATAAAAACAATTAAGGCAAGGTTAAATTAACCTGAAAAGGCCTTGCTTGATAAGGCAAATTAAAGGAATGATACACATATTACTCCATTTTAAAAATAATCTTAAATTATTACACTCAAATAAGCTCTAACTTAAGCAGTTCCATAACGTACATCCGACAATCTCCCACAATTCAGACAAAAATCTTTACCAATCAGTAGTATTTAAACTTCATCGGTTAAGTTGGTCAAAAATTTAGCAAAATGTAAGGTATTGTTAATTGTTCCTCATATGTGTGATGGACTGAGGATTTGTTTTTCCCCAGTTATTGGTACATTGAAAAAAAGTAATTTTTAAACGTTTCACCACTGACAGCTGGACTTTTCTTCTTTTTAGTACATTCCCACATGATCATCACCTCTCTGTGCCAAATACCAACTTTCCAGTTGTCTTGTACAGGTAGAAGTAGTTGGTTATTCATATTGATTGTAATATATTTAACCACTGGCTTTTTCATGTTTTTTACAATATGTGCTGTACATATTGTACTCTGCCCTGGTTACAGATAACCATTTAATTAGAACTGTGTTTTGTCCAAACTGAAAGACTCAGGACTAATTTGAAAAGTAACTTACTAGTAATGTTTAAAAACTAATTAAACAAACCTAAAAACAGAATACATCTTACTTATAAAACATGATGCATGAGTGGGATACCAAAATCTTTAATTCAGACATAATAAAGACTGTAGGTTTTTAACATGCTTAAATCAGTGTCTTTTTAAAAATATAAGCAATAGTGCCATACAAATGATTCATCTTCCAGTTCTGCGTGAGTCTTTTGTTTCGATTACGATGAGTGAATAATTTGGAATAATCCCTTCCAAAACTTCAGAGGAGATTTGTCTCCACTGAAAAAACAACAACCTCACTTAATGAAAAGAAAACTTTACATCTGTTACTTCAACCTTACTTGTGTTGAAATGCTCTGGCATAAGAGTAAAATCGCAAATAATTTATTATGCACTGAATTTGTAAACAAAAAAAGTAAAAAGTTTCAAGGACAGTTAATTATTTTAAATATGGTAAAAGAGGTCTGTGGTACTTTTGGAACTCATGGTACTTGTCACGCCCTCTGCAGCCAGAGGGCGCTCCTTCTCTGTCCTGTCCCTAGTTTCCGGTCTGCTGTCCTTCCTGTCCCTCTCTTTCCCTTGGGCTATATATTTCCGGGTCTTGCACTCTGTCCTCGCTCAGCATTGATGTTTGGATGTCCTGAGACCCGCCTAGCACCAGGGCGCCCCACGTCCGCTCCCTGAGGGCATAGGTTTCTATACGGCATTCCTGAACTCTTTGCACTAATGAGCCCGGGCCTTTTTCCCGTCTCGCCGCTACGCATATGGGTCTTTTCCGCTCTCCTGCTCCCCACGGTTAGTCCCTTTGGACGTCCGTGACAGTACTGTTATGTAATTTTACAAATTACATGATAAACATATTTATTACAATAATTATCAATTAGAATAGCATTTGATTGTCACACAGAATGTAATCTTTATATAGACCTACAGCTTTAGACACTGCTCAGACATTTGGTATCTTTAAGGAAATATTTTCCTGCATTTGAAATGGCAGGCTTTGAAAAAGATTTTTTTCTCTATAGTTATGAAAACCTGATAACTGGTCAACTGGAGAAAAAGGAAGAACAGAAAATTGCATAAATCCTTGTAACTAGATAAGATTAGTTACTCAAAATGTGTAAAATGTTTTAAGTGGTCTGTAGTTTGGAAGAAAACTAATAACTCAGTAATAGCAGGGATTTGAGTAATAATATTTCAGCCAAATGTTCGAACTATTATTTTTTTCAGATCCAGTTGACAGTCTTAAACATGATTTGAAATCCAGGATAAGAAGAGGTATTTCAGTTTTTGTTGTGAATGTAGGTAGTTTAAACCACACATACATTAGTGAAGAAGTAAACTTCATTTTTAAATGAATCAAATATAAACCATTTCAAAATCAGTTGTATTCCTTTGCTTACTACAAATTTTATTTAAGTGTTTCAAAAGGATTTGTTAGAATTTTGTTCTGAAATACTCTAATACGATAAACAAATCTTCAAAGTGAAATGGTGTTGTAGATTGTATATAACAACATTAAAGGACGATGGACCAATAACTGTAGGGCAAGGAGCCTTTACTCAGCAAAACCCTTCTCAGTTACAAATAAATAACAAACAACACCAACCCCTTTGAAGTCTTTTATATATCAAGCAGACTTAATACCATCCATGTGCAAATGTGGAATTTTTTTAAGCCTTCAACAATTATCACATTACTTGACTTACAATTATCAAATCCACCTCAAGTGTGACTATTTACAGATATTAAAGGCTTTATCGTCCTCATGTGGCAGGTCAACTGTAACTACTATCCTTACTACATCTGACTGCACACTGAAATAATCTTATTTGGGCTTTTCTGTTCAAGCGTTTTTTTCTAAGAAGGCAATCACAGGTGCAAATGAGGAGGACAGCAAATACAGTGAGTAAAGCATTTTCTAAAAAAAAAAAACATAAAGAAAGGCTTCTACATTTGGGACTGAAACAAAGTTTCTACAGCAAATTTCAGTTTCCTCCTACAGCAGTTTATATAGAGGCCTGAAAGCTTTCTGCTATCCCATCAGTAATGATAATATCCACAGCTGAGTCTTCTGTCTAATCCCATTCTGTCTCTAATCCCACCTAATCTAGTCAAAAAAGCAGCTTTTTGTTTTCAAACTCTGTGTACCAGAAACAGTGTTATTAACCTGGCTATTCAATATTCTCCAACAATTTTATTGTTCAGATAAGCATGCTCTTAACTTACCTTTTAATTCATTTTGTTTCTTTCACAATGAATCTTTGTATATGTCACATTTTATTGACTGAACTTTATTTTACCAGAATGAAATGTCCTTATTACCCTTTCATGCACATGAAAAGATGGTCATAATATTCTTCTTGGTTAAAAGAAGCTTTTAAATCAATAACTTATTTTTGTATTGTTTAGAAAATATTATATTTATGTGTCTAATTATTTAGGAGAAAGATATCGATAAGTGATCATGTTCTCCTAGTCTGTTAAAAAAACAAGAATGATTTCTATTAAATTGTGTGTTATTGCTTTCAGTACTGTTTTAATAATCCATGAATTATTTTTGGACAGCATCACTGATTGTCTGCTCTGTCTGTGTTTCTCCAGACTGTGTGGCTGGGAAGTGTTTTTTAGAAATGATTAAATGCACATATCCAAAGGCCAGCAGCAAATATCAAATCTCAGGTATGCATAGATTTGTCTTCTTCTAAAAATGTAGGCAAAGACATCCAGAGAGAAACACAAATTGTGCAATTGTGTTACATATCTACTAAAAAACCTAAAGATGATAAAGTTTCAGGTGTAGACTACTTTAAGCTGTATCCACATTTCCAAGAAAGGAGATGTAAGTATGACTTGTTTCAAGGCTTGCTCAGTTTGAGACAAATTTGAGACATACAGTATTTTGGAAAGTTTTCATAATTACATTCATTTCTGTTAGATAAAAGATTAATTTGGTATTATTTTATTATCGATCCAACTTTCCAGACTCATTCTTCAACTTCTATGAATAAGGAAATATTATTAAGGAAATATTAAATAATATGTCCTCTTCCAACCCGAAGCTTTCAAATCAGGCAAACACCGTGTTATCTTCTTATATGACATCTGTAACAAGTCTGTTTTTAAAATCCAGTTTCGTATTTTTCAGGTGGAGAGCAAAGGCAGCTGATCCAGGTCCACTGTGTAATTGAATTTGGTGTCTGCGCAACCAACTGTTTCAATGCACAAGGACATTTTAGTAGTGCTTGACCCCTGTAATGTACATGTACAGTATATAGAATTTTTTAATTATAATGTAAATGAACACCTGCAGAAACTGAGGAATTGGCCCTTTTTTACACTATCCACGTAAGGCCCTACATAATGAAGATTTGCCCTGCCACAGGATGTCTGGTCAAGGTTTAGTTGTGTTGCAGTTGTACAATGTCCAATGACCTTTGCATATTTAGATACAGTTGGGCTCCATGTATAAATAGTGTTGCACACTTTACGTGTTTATTTTATAACAACACACATTAAGTCTTTTCTAAATTCTAATTGTGAAATTGCACCTTGGGCTTGGTATGTTTTATTATTATTAGCCATAATTATTTTTCATCTCATAATACTCAATGTTGTTCACTACATGTTGTTCAGATGGAAAATAAATGTGCTACCTTATGCACGTAGTGTATATCTATTTTTATTATAGCACAATTACTGTAGTAATGTATAGGACTGAAATGTGAGTTAACACTCTAGAATTAGTCATCAGTTTAGTAAACACAAAACGTAATTATAAATCAGAACTTTTCATTTCAAGAGTTAGTTAATGTTTGCTCTAGTGTTTAATTATAGATTCTCTGACATGTGTTTGCTTGAGATGCAAACTATTATGAATGTTGTAATAGCTTTCTTCCTAGTTTTTTCTAAATCTTTAGATGCCAGTGGCCTCCCTGTGATTGATACTGGATTTCTAATAAAAACAAAGCATCATTAACCTTGATATTAATATGTTCTTGTCTTTTGGGACTACACATGCATTTGCCAGACCAATTCTCAGAGTCACCACGCGACCAAAACTCGCCGCCAACTTCCAACATGCACTGTTCACCGAATTATCCAATCACATTCCACCTCCCTCCCTTCTCACCATTGAGGAAGAGCTCACCTCGGCTCTTCGTTAGTTCACTCAGTGTGAATTGACCTTTAGGATAACGGATCTTTGCCCTCAATCTGACTACGGACCTGCTTTATGATTTGGATTTTGGTTACTGGATACTCCCTCTCTCTTCAACCCCTTACTCCAACCGTGCACAGGGTCCTAGTTCCTGTCTTCTGTCAGACTTGACAACACATATGACCATATGTTGCTGCTGGAAGAGGTGTTAGTGGGGCCAGCAGGGGGAGCTCACCCTGCGGTCCATGTGGGTCCTAAAGCCCCAGTGTGGTGACGGGGACACTATACTGTAAACAGACGCCATCCTTCGGAGGAGACGTAAACCGAGGCCCTGACTCTCTGTGGTCACTAAAAATCCCAGGGCGTTTCTCAAAAAGAGTAGAGGTGTAACCCCGGCGTCCTGGCCAAATTTCCCATTGGCCCTTACTGATCATGGCCTCCTAATAATCCCCCTCTATGAATTGGCTTCATCACTCTGTTCTCCTCCACTTTATAGCTGATGTGTGGTGAGCGTTCTGGCGCACTATGGCTGCCGTCGCATCATCCAGGTGGGGCTGCACATTGGTGGTGGTGGAGGGGATCCCCATTACCTGTAAAGCGCTTTGAGTGGAGTGTCCAGAATAGTACTATGTAAGTGTAAGCAATTAGTATTATTAGTATAACAAAAAAAAACATTGGAAAAGGTGGAAGATTTCAGACTTGCAAATCATGACAACTGAAGAATTTGTGCTATCCTGGCACAAATGTATTTTGATTTTTTTTAAATAGAATTACTTCTAATGTGTAGCATCTTGCAAAAATAGCCCTATCTGATGATATCCCATTTTAACCGAATTACAAATAATGTGTTGCACACCCATTTTTTAAAGTGAATTTTTTAATGGAAATCTGAATGCTCAGACTGAAACCTTTTCTAAGTGAAAATTCAACTGTCAACAAAAACTTCAAAAGAAAATGAAAAACTAAAATGTGTTGATTGCATAAGTATAACTGGAACTGGTACTTACGTTTGCTATTTTAATTCTAAAAAACACACCTCCTGTACAAGCGTGAATGTGGTTTATATATACAAATATTTTACATGTGTTAAAAATTGTTCTTATTATATTTTGTCTGGTCTCTTTACACTACGAATTAGGTCTTGCAGATTCAGAACAGCTGGATAAACCTACGATAGCTTGGAAACAGTTACAAGAGTCCCTCTAGTGGTACACTAGGGAACAGCAGGTGCTCTGATCCTGCCAAATAAAGCAACTTCTTATCAAGGTTGCCGTTTTCAATCTGTAGCAATGTCCTCCTATTATAGTCAGAGTTAAACTCAGAGTTAAATATAAAAGAACAGTTCTGTTACGTATTGTGTAAATTTGCTATTTAACAGTCTTAATATGTTAATTGAACAACTGCATTAACAGTCATCTTTCTAAGCAATAACCTAGCAATGGCAACCCACTGAAGCTAAGCAGATGTGAGCCTGGTCAGTACCTGAATGGGAAACCTCCTGGGAAAAACTAAGGTTGAGGCTCGAAGAAGTGTTAATAGGATCCTGCTGTTTGTGTGGGTCCGAATGCTCCAATACAGTGATATGGACACTATACTGTAAAAAAAGGCGCCGTCCTTCAGATGAGATGTAAAACTGAGGTCCTGATTCTCGGTGGTCATTATAAATTCCAGGGTGCTTCATGAAAAGAGTAGGGGTGTTAACCCAAAAGCCTGGACAAATTTCCTATAGGCCTTTACCAATCATGGCCTCCTAATAAACCTCATCTCTGATTTGGCTTCATCAATCTGTTCTCCTCCCCACTGAAAGCAGCTGTGTGGTGAGCATATTTACATTATCCAGGTGGGGCTACAGACTGAGGGTGGTGGATGGCAGTCCTATTACCTGTGACAAGCTTTGAGTGGAGTGACCAGAATTATTATTACTATGATGATATAGATGCATAAAATAAATATACAATTAAATATGGTGGGTAGCTGCGTCAGCATGCGTAGGCTGCAAAGGAACAAGTAGTAGGTTTATTCCATGCTGAAAAAAAAGAAGAAAGAGAACACAACGTTTTGGTTGTGGCTCACATCTGAAGAAGGCTCCATGGCCGAAACGTTGTGTTCTCTTTCTTCTTTTTTTTCAGCATGGAATAAACCTATTACTTGTTCCTTTACAATTAAATATGCCTGCATATGGATAACGTTAATCCACTATGCATGAGACAGAATTCCAAACATATGTCAGAATAGTGATAATTTGCAAGTATTGCTCCCAACTACACCACCCGTTTTAAAAGTGCTCAGACCCTTCTCCCCGGACATGTCGGAAACCCTAGAGCCATCTGTGCACCTGCAGACCAGCACAAGAGAGACAGATTACATAACTGCAGGTTTTTATTCTACTGCAGTGCGTGCAACTTGTAATCACAACAAAGTATCATTGTACATATACATAAAAAATAATTAACCACGTAGTTTCATGCAACCAAGAAGAAAAAAATCCCAAATAGCACTTTGCTGGCTGCATAGTTCTGTCTCTGTTACGTTGCGAACAAAAAAAACTATTACCCATAAGCACCCCCTTCCCAGATCGGCTAATTGCAGTCACCCAAGCAAGTCTACCCCCACCGCACCGAAAAAGAAAACAAACTCAAAGAAAAACACTTCCGTTGCATCGCTAGTGTCTTCCCCCCTCCCAAGAGCCCTGAACTGTACATTCCCATCATACCTCCTGTACCCTTGTGTCTGAAACAAGTAGCAGGGCAAGGGGAGGAAGAGAGATCCCCAGCCCTTAATCTCCATGGCCAGGGTTAGAAAATTATTGTTGGGTTCTTATTTTATCATCATCCCATTGGCTGTAACTCCAGGACTTGAGTGAGGGGCAGGAATGTCCAGAACAAATTGTGCTTTCTTAGAGAAGTGATCGGTCACTACCGTGATTATAGTATTACCTTGTCTATTTGGAAGATCCATTATGAAATCAGCCGCTATGTGGGACCAAGGACAGTAGGAGACAGGAAGGGGGTGAAGGACACCAGCTTTCCTAGAGCGAGGGGGTCTTAGTCCTGGCACAAACTGGACGTGCCCGAACATAATCTCCGACACCAGATCAAAGTGCTTCTGATGCCTGGGTGGCCAGCGAACCAGGAATCATGGCCCCACTGCAAAACTGCCAGAGTTGCTGAAGTGAGCCGTGAAGCTGGGTAAGGGCTTGGGAGTGCTGACTGAGGAAGGAGCAAACAGATTGAACATCTGCGGGATCCATAATATTGGCTTGGTATTCTGTTACGAATCCACGTCAGAATGTAGAAGGATCCTAAGCGGATGAGAGAGAGAGTCGAGGTAACAGTAAAGAACACTGGAGTCTAATCCGAATCGTCAGGCGAGATCGTGGTCAAAGAATGGAAAAGCAAGGTCCAAATCCAAAGAATTTCGTTAACAAGAGGTTTCCAGAAAAAGGGCGAGGTAGGAGCTCTCGAGATTGGGAACTAATAAAGAGCGTCAAGCAGACAGTAATGAGGGCTTAAGCTGCAACTAGGAGGAGAGTGGAGCAGGAGGTGATACTGTAGTTAACACGGGTGGCTGAAC